TACGAAAGGGGCAGGCTGTGGATCTATTCTTATTTTCCCCCACAACTGGGCCCCGGAACCCATACAGGGAAGTTTATGTTTTGTTTCAGAGGGTGTTCCATAAGCTAGATATTTATTGTTTTGCCTACTCTGGCTATGGTCCTCTGTTTTGTTGATATTAATTTTCACGTTATACTCTTTACAAATTTGTTTATATAATTTATATGGTCTTGCAAAATAGATCCACTGCAACCCAACAAGCATGTCAAAACAGGCGACTAACTAGTGGTTGTTCTGTTGAAGCCAGAGTGCATCTGCCAGAGAGATGAGCAACCAAAACAGTTTGCATACAAATCATCCAGAACTGTAAACAGATGCGCGTGCAAAACTCAAGTTTTGGAATAAGACTGCAGTCCAGGATGAACACGCAGAAGTTTACGCTGGAATTTACAGCCAGTGAACATTGAAAAGATGATGATGTTCACACTGTGATGTACATATTATCATCCAGACGTTTCTCTGTTCATTTCTCATATTAACATCAATTGTGTCTGTTGGTATTCTGATATTTTTCTTTTTCTGTGCGTTTCTCATGTTTGCATCAATTGTGTCTGTTGTCATTTTGATATTTCTCTGGAGCTTTGATGATCACATCTTGCTGTATTATTACCATCTGGACATTACTCTGTGCAGCTCTGATCTCAGATCAAACGAGTCTGTTGACATATCCTGAAACAGCTTTGAACATCTACCAATGGAGGTGTCTATGATTTGACATTTCTCGTGCGGCTTTGATGTTCATATAAAATTATGTGGTCTGCTATCATCTAAACATTTCTCAGTACAGATTATGTTTCACATTTAATAATGTATCTATATCATCTGGGCATTATTCTGTGCAACTGTGGTGATTACTGAAAATGGCTGTTGTCATCTGGGCATTATTCTGTGCAACTGGGGTGATTACTGAAAATGGCTGTTGTCATCTGGGCATCAGTTTTGATGACCACACTAAATGGAGTGAACATTGCCACTGTGGTAATTCTGTTTTTTTTTTTTTTTGTAGTACTGATGATCACATCAAGTGATGTTTTGATATTTTAAAGACATCCATGCATATGCTAATCAATACCTTGAGTATGTGTTTATGACTTTTGATGATCGCAAGATCTAGATATAAATATTTTTAATGCCAGTTGCCATGGCACTTTTAGATGATGGGTGTTTACTGACAATGTGATGGTGATCAAATCCTCAAAGACAAAATCACACTATCAGTGTTTACTGACACTAGAACAGCGATAGCATCCTTAGGAACAAAATCTCATGCTGTATTCAATCAAATTTTAGCTGCAGGTTGGCTTGGAGTTAGCAAAGTGTCCGTCTCTTTTGTCTCATTAACACAAAATGACATTATTGAATGTTACATTCCTCAGTTCTATTATAAACATCTTGATCAGGTCTCAAATATCAACTAAAACAATCCAGAATTTGGCAGCTATTGCAGTTTCCTTGTTGTCTCTGTCTCCATTAGACAAATTCTGACACTATTTAATGTCACATCCGTCATTTCTATCATCAACATCTTGATAATGTCTCACATAATAAAAACAACCCAAGAATTTGGCAGCTATTGCAGTTTCCTTGTTGTCTCTGTCTCCATTAAAACAAATTCTGACACTATTTAATGTCACATCCCTCATTTCTATCATCAACATCTTGATAATGTCTCACATCATAAAAACAACCCCAGAATTTGGCAGCTACTGCAGTTTCCTTGTTGTCTCCATCTCCATTTAAAACAAATATGACACATTATTTAATGTCACATTCCGCAGTTCTATGAAAATGTCTCAAGCATCAACTAAAACAACCCAAGAATTTGGCAGCTACTGCAGTTTCCCTATTGCTCTTTTTAGTCGCATTCCTCATTTCAATCATAAATACCTTGATGAAGACTCAAAATTTCAACCAAAGCAATAAAGAATTTGTCAACTCTTGCAGCTTTCTCAGTTTCATTTGTCATTCTTTATTTCTATCATAAATAACTTGACAAAGACTCTTTTTCTTCAACTTCAGCCATCAGTATTTGCTATGAACTTGTTTCAGAATGAGTCACAAACAGGACAGGGCAATAAGTTCTTAGCCACTGCCTCAGTTTGTCTTACAGGGCTGCTCCGTTGGGCCAGATTTTCTCTCTCTGACTGGGTAATCTTGTAAGTCAAGCTCCAGAATTTTCTCTGGTGCAAAACAACCACATAGATGAAGTTTCAACATCAAATACAGTTAGCTCTAATTTAGCAGCTCTTGCGGCTTTGTCAGTTCCACTGGTCACAATCTTATCTATCAAACACCTTGGTAAAGACAACAAATAGAACATCATAGAATGTGGCAGCTTTAGAAGATTCCTGGATTCTTCTTCTATCACATATCTCATTTCAATCATAAACATCTCAATGAAGGCTCAAAACATCAACTACAGTTAGCCCCAATTTGTCAAGATTTTGCAGTTTTCTCATTTTTATCCGTCTCACTCACTCTCATAAACACCTCTTTGAAGCTTTCAGATATCTCAGACTAAAGTAACAAAAAAGCAAATCTGTCAGCTTTTTTCTTTCCTGTGTCCCCACTGTTGGTGCAATGAGGCATTGCCATGATGAGATTGACAATGTTCTAGATACTGCCAGCTGTGTAGCTTTAACTGATGGCAAATGTAACTTGCACATCTAGGGAGAGTCAAATGTGGAAGCCAAAAGGTGCAAACTTGCAGTCATGCCGTAAACAAGCACAATCCAATTATATCCCTTAACTGAATGAACTCAGAAGAAGAAATCACTCAAACTGTGTGAATTGCACTTGATGATAAACATTTATTTATGGACCTCACTTCTTGGACAGCAAGCTCTTACAGTCATCAACTCCCACTGTAGTACTTCCAACATTTATCAGTCATCAACTCCCACTGTAGTACTTCCAACATTTATTTATGGACCTCACTTCTTGAACAGCAAGCTCTTACAGTCATCAACTCCCACTGTAGTACTTCCAACATTTATTTATGGACCTCACTTCTTGAACAGCAAGCTCTTAACATTCATCAACTCCTACTGTAGTACTTCCAACATTTATTTATGGACCTCACTTCTTGGACAGCAAGCTGTTACAGTCATCAACTCCCACTGTAGCACTTCCAACATTTATTTCTGGGCCACTCGTCTTTGGTATTAGAATCTCTAATGATCATCCCCGCATCTCTCTTAGCATTCCAGTCATTTTATTTCTGGGCTATCAATACGCTGGATAAGCAGGTTTACAGACACTGTGAGCTGCAAATTCAATTTAGAATGCTTTTACCTGTGCCCAGTGTGGTCTGTGTTGTGAGATTTAGAAAATAGCAAGTGATCTGTTGTCACAGAACTAGTGGTGCCTTATGCTACTAACTGCGTGTGCAACTGCTGCTTCCATCAACGAACTGCATTTCCAGTGTTGGGCTGTGGGTGGAGTGTGTTGGCACTTCTCATAGCTGCCTTTTGCATTTAATGTGTTTTGTACTCCATAGTGCTTCTAAGATAGCAAAATGCAACAATTTAACTTTTTTCCTAAATCTCATTTGAAACATCCCAGGTACATTTCACTGTACCATGCTTCTCAAATGGCAATTAGCCACTAACATACTACATCGTGTCTCTCAAATGGCAATTAGCCACTAATTTATTCTCCATCATGGTTTCTCAAATGGCAATTAGCCACCAATGTATCCTCCACCATGTTTCTCAAAAAGCAATTAGCCATTATTTATTCTTCATCATGTTTCTCAAAAGGCAATTAGCCATATTTATTCTCCATCAAGTTTCTCAAATGGCAATTAGCCACTAATTCATACTCCATCCTTTTTCTCAAAAGGCAATTAGCCATTATTTATTCTCCATCATGTTTCTCAAAAGGCAATTAGCCATTATTTATTCTCCATCATGTGTCTCAAATGGCAATTAGCCCTATTTATTTTCCATCATGTTTCTCAAAAGGCAATTAGCCACTAATTTATACTTCATCATGTTTCTCAAAAGGCAATTAGCTATTATTTATTTTCCATCATGTTTCTCAAATGGCAATTAGCCACTAATTTTTACTCCACCATTTTTCTCAAAAGGCAATTAGCCATTATTTATTCTCCATCATGTTTCTCAAAAGGCAATTAGCCATTATTTATTCTCCATCATGTGTCTCAAATGGCAATTAGCCTATTTATTTTCCATTATGTTTCTCAAAAGGCAATTAGCCACTAATTTATACTCCATCATGTTTCTCAAAAGGCAATTAGCCACTAATTTATACTCCATCATGTTTCACAAAAGGCAATTAGCCCTATTTATTTTCCATCATGTTTCTCAAATGGCAATTAGCCACTAATTTATACTCCGTCATTTTTCTCAAAAGGCAATTAGCCATTATTTATTCTCCACCATGTTTCTCAAATGGCAATTAGCCACAAATTTTTACTCCATCATTTTTCTCAAAAGGCAATTAACCATTTATTTATTTTCCACCATGTTTCTCAAATGGCAATATGCCACTAATTTATTCTCCACCACACTTCCCAGATGGCAAAAAGCCAAAAATGTATACCTCATCATGTTTCTCTGATGGCAATAATCTTTTTAACAATCTTTTTTGAAGTTTACACTTCATCATATGTTAGAAAGACAAACCTTTATACATCGTAGTGGCTAAATTTAAATTATTGTGTACCCACAGACATTGTTTTACATTATCCAAGCCTCATACACAATATATCTTCCCATTTCCACCTGCTTGCTTCATTTTTTAAAAACACTTTCAGAACTGCATGGTGAAACTGGAAAGACATTGCAGATTGTGCAAAACAGTGAACAGACAAATCCTCTCAATTATTGAGTTTTCTTTCCAGTAATGGTGAGACCAATAGGGCAAACTATTTGCTATTGATGAAATCGTAATTTACAGACTGCATCCGGGGCATTCAGGAGATCCAAGGGGCTCACCTGTCATTTAATGACATCCTGGTGGTGCTTTTCAGCACAATTTTTGTTGGAACGGTGGTCATCATGGTGGACCTGTGATAAGGAAACAAAACGTGTATTTCAGAACACATTTTCTGATAAATTAGCTGAACTGACTAATAGGGTACTTAAACATTTCAGTTGTTGAACATATTTTCTTAATAATTAATTGAATAGTCTACTGATTAAATTACAAAAAACTATAATAATAATTCCTCTTCTTTATGTTCGCCGGCTATAAACTGGTTGTTCATCCACTTCTGTACTCTAATCCTGTTCCAGAACCTGAGTGTTGTAGGTACACCCTTTTACAGATCTGATTCATCCATATGCAGACTGTTGGTTCTTTGCCTCTCAGGCAGATACACTCTGACTTCGAAAGAAGCTCCCAAATAATCAACTTCTACAACATGCTTTTGGGTAGACAGTGGGTCTATTCTTGTTTTCTCCTACAATGGGAGCTCGGAACCCCCAGGGGGCCAATAATTCAATTTGATGTTGACATCTTATAATGTAGACAAATGTGCCCTATCCGCTATTACAAATAACAGTATTAGTATGAAAGATGGTGCCCAAGAAGAAGATGGACTGATGACATTAAAGAAATTCTACAGTGACATGGAAGGCAGACAACAGCCAATACTACCCACTGAGCAATGGATGACAAACTATCATCATCATCATTATCTTTTGTGTGCCGTCAGACGTCACATAGGGCTAGCATTCAATTCCTCCACTCTGCTCTATTGCATGCAACACCCTCAATTTCTGAGATGGAGTTCAGCCCGTGTTTTTTGGCTTTTCGTAATAATGTTCTTAATGTTTCCCTTGGACGTCCTCTTTTCCCTCACAATGTTTGTTTCCCATTTTAGTGCTTGTTTTGAAATTCTTTGCTCATTTTGTCTGACAGTGTGCCCAATATGTCTTCACTTCATTTGTTTTATTGCAGTCGATACACCTATTTTTCCAGACCTTTCTCTGATCTCATTTTTTTTAAATCATCTCATTTTACGTTCCTAATTTCTCTCAGACTATTTTTTCAAATGCATTTAACTTTCATTCAATATCTTTGGTGGTTAAACATTCGCTGGCATAAATTAGAAGTCAAATAACACTAGAACTGGAGATTCGCTGTTTGGTCTCAATAACACTAGAACTGGAGATTCGCTGTGTGGTCTCAATAACACTAGAACTGGAGATTCGCTGTTTGGTCTCAATAACATTAGAACTAGAGATTCGCTGTTTGGTCTCAATAACTCTAGAACTGGAGGTTTGCTGTTTGGTCTCAATAACACTAGAACTGGAGGTTCGCTGTTTGGTCTCAATAATACTAGAACTGGAGATTCGCTGTTTTGTCTCAATAACACTAGAACTGGAGATTCGCTGTTTGGTCTCAATAACACTAGAACTGGAGATTCGCTGTTTGGTCTCAAAGCTGTGCAAAGACTGTGGACGGCACAGAAGTAAATCAATTCCTGAGGTGACCGAGCCGAATGAAGCAGGTGTTGTGATCTGGGTCTTTCACTGCACTGTCGGTCTACCACTGAGCCACTTTCTTGTCACCTCCAAAGGTGACCGACTATTGGTACTTTTAGCCACATGATATTGTTGAGCCACTAAACTTTATGACTGGCCTGGCCAGACTGTAAGCGTCAACTTTTGTTAAGTAGTTCTGAACTGGGAGGAGCCATACTTGTCCAATGAATTTTCAAGTGAACTGATTTAAGAAGCGTGACTCTTTAATAGAGATTTAGACTATCCCCCGAATAACAATCCCAAATTATCGAGGCCGAAAATATACCCTAACGGCCTTAGTCCTATGTAAATTGCAGACCTCTTCTGGCGACTACACAGCATACCGCCGAGAGTATTTCCCGCGCCGCTACACGCGGAGAGGGGCTAAATTAGATGACTGTGACTCACAAGCAGCAGCTACCGCATCTCATGCAAACACAATGTAGGGAGATGCGTAAGCTGCTGCTTGTGAGTCCCAGCCATCTAGTTTAGCCCCAATCCACGCCGTGCACAGCAGTGTAAGAGAAACTTACTCTTGGTGGTGGTGGTATAGTCCCTGGAAGTCCGCAATTCGGCGGTGGCGGTATAGTCTCCGGAAGTCTGCAATTGACACGTGACTGAGGCCCTGTTAGGGTATATTTTCGGCCTCGATAATTTGGGACCGTTATTCCGAAGATAGCACTAATTTATATTGCTGCTTTTCCCTATCTCGTGCTCCCGATTATCATGTGAGTAATAAATATAATTTATAAAGTTCAGGTCCACACGTGAGACTACGTACGATGAGGTGAACACTTGACTTTAGGCCGTTTCCCCGGGTCCTAGCGGTAAGCCTCACTTTCAGCTGCAACATCTCATAGATTGCGTTTCTTTTTTGTAAACAGTATAATTCAAACCGGGCAGCGTTCTCTCCTAACAACTCTTAAGTCTTAAGGCTTACGCTTAACGTAAACTAAACTAACAATGCGAAACGGACGGTCAGGTAACGAACCCGGCAAAAGTGGAAACTGATGATCAAGTGCTGTTTTAGTATGTTAATGCAAACAAAATCTTCTTTAGAGTTTTGTCTGAAATTCGGTTACTGATATATTGTCTCTTCAATTATCTAATTAAAGCTCATCACGTCTGTCAACTCTTTGCTAGAAAAGTTAAAATAAAATTACCTGTTCATCGCTAACGAAAAACTTGTTATGGTTGACTTCTGTCTGCTGTGCACAGAACTGCACTGTTTTTTTTAGGGATACCAGCAGACCGTAGTTTCGCACTTTAGTTTCGTACAGCATGCTCTTCGATGCTCCTGTCCGTTCCGTGCTTTGCTGGAAAAAAAGGGGGGGGGGGAGGGGGGAAAGAGAGAGTTCGTCACTTTTTACTAGGTTATAAGCGCCATGTAAAATGGCTAGCATTCTACGCCACCAAAACACTGAAAATAACTACTGACGTGTTGATTCGATCAAAGAAAATAGACCCAAATGCAAATACTGTCTCGACTAGCGACGACGTCGCCTAACGGCGAGCCGAAGGGCGACTCAGTCGTCGATGATGCTTCTGTCAGTACAACATTATATCAGGAGGCCAGAAGTCCAGACACCTTGATGAAAGCTACCATGCAGTCCAAATCTCCGCGTGTACCATATAGCTTTAGTCTTGACCGAGGCTGGAACAATCCAGGTTGTTCCTCTGCTAGCAGTATATAGTTTATACTTATTTACAGCGCTGGAGTCAGGGCCTGGGTTAGATTTTATGAGACCCTAGGCAGTGCTACTCAACTGGCGGGCTAGGCCCTCGGGCCTCCATTTTCAACACGTTGGCGTAAACTCTGCTGAATAGCCCCACGTAAACTCTGCTGAATAGCCCCACCTAAGCTATAAAGAGCACCGAGGCTCCAACCGTTTTAATTTGATTTGATTCATGAACCGACATCCCAGCACTCGGGGTACTCTCACAAGCGCTCCGTCCCTATCTTCAGCAGCCAGCAAAGAGTTCGGATACTAATGATGCCAGTAGCATACTGATTAAACGTGTTGCGTGTGTTTGTTGTTGAATGTGTACTTCAGTCGTAAAGGTTTGACTTATTTGCTTCATTTGTTTATGTAATTGTGTACTGTAGTGTGTACTAGACGAGATCCAGCGAAATACCCAATGCACTGTTTGTGCCTTCTTCATTCAACTTAACAATATACTTCCTTATACTTCAATATACCATTCCCAGCACTGACTGACTGACTGTCTACCCCACTAGGATATCAGACAAGCGATAAACACCCGATGACTCAAAGTGCCACTATGTGGATGAGGATCACCGTGGAGAGGTCCCAGAAACCGCGTTCAGACAATTGGCCATATTTATGGCCTGCCTATATTACGACCCCTGGCAAAAGCCAGGGTTGGGCTTCAATTAACAAAAAATTTGGTCCTAAATAAGGGCGATAGGGTTAATAATGTTATATACCCAGCACTAAGTGCCGGATTCAAATAAAATAACCATATGGGTTTGCCCATAGTGCGTCGATTCTTAACAACAACAAAATAATTTACCGACTTCATGAATAAAATATAATTAAACTTGAATATGTTTGTATACAAATATTGTACTTAAATAAGAAGTTATTTATTTACAGTTTTCTATTTTCTATACAGTTTGTTCCAAATTTGTTGGCTTTCTGCGATTAGCTTTTATAATAAAACTAAAATTTAATGGCATAACTTTGTAAGTCTTAAAATATAAACATATATTTAAGTTACATATAACAAGATTTAAGTTGCCTCCCTTGTAAGATAAGCTACGCCCAGTCGTTTCCCTTGTTAAATATACTGGCTGTAGGGTCAGACAATCGGGGTTATATAAAGTATTATCCAGATTCGTCCTTTTTAGGACGAAATTTTTTGTTATTTAAAGCCCCACCCTGGCTTTTGCCAGGGGCCGCAATATAGGCAGGCCATAAATATGGCCAGGTGTCTGAACGCGGTTTCTGGGACCTCTCCACGGCGATCCTCATCCAGATGGTGGCACTTTGTGTCATCGGGTGTTTGTCGCTTGTTTGATGTCCTGGTGGGGTAGAAAGTCAGTCAGTCAGTCAGACAATCGGGGCTCATTCGCCCGTGCACTCGCGTTCTGGAGCCATAGTCTGAAGGCGAGGGGAAGGAAGAAGTTGGCGTACTTCTTATTTGGAAAACTAGGTCAACAAAATGGGCGACTTGTTTGTTATTTGCTTATCGGGCAATGATGAAAGGTTGCCACATCATACATGAATGTTGCCTCTTTGCCAAGCTTTTGCTTCATAGATGTCATTTTTGTCTTGGCCATAATAAAATGCAGTCTCCCCTAATTTTAGGACCTTGTATGAATGCTCTGTGTGTGGGTTCCAGGGCCACATCCACATACCCTTTCTACACCACTGAACATGCATTAGGGCTCCTAGCAAATGTTTCTTCAAAACATGACACTGAAATGCAGAGTATGGATCAGAGAAAAACAAAGAAATAAAGGCAGACTTCACTGCATATGATTTGTCACATCTTGCTCAGTCTT